AAAAAAGCCGGGGTAGAAATGCGTGAAAAGGGGAGATTTCCGCTCTCCCCTGCGCCAGAGCTGCGTGTGGCCGGCGGAGATGATGCACAGGAGCCCCGAGATCCCCGACTCGCGTCGGTGCTTGGTCCTTGGCATCTCGGAGACGTTTCCATCCCACCGGCCAAGAGACGTTTTGCCGCTTTATTTTCAAACAGACCTCGGCAGCGGTTCCCTTGAGCGGGGTGACCTCAGCCGCGAGGGATTGCTCTTTTCCAGATGAAGATTAATTTTGTGTTTGTTTGTTTGCTCTGGCAGTTTAGCTGAGTGTGCATTTCCACCTCCAGAACCCTCACACTGTGTATAAAAACGGATAATATATATATATAATATATATTCTTGTGAATGTTGGTGCAAAAGAGAAAAATATATAAAGTTTCAGTCGGTTTTATGTTATTTTTTATCTATATGAATGAAAGGAAGAAATGGAAAACATTTTTTTTCCATTTACCACCCTCCACACACACCTACCTGTAGATACCGACAGGTTTTATGGAAATGTTTGACTTTTTAGATTTAGGAACATGCTTCTGTTCTCATTGAATGTTCTGTCTTGTAAGATTGTAATTTCTATTTTTTTAAAGAAAAGAAAATAACTAAATAAAATTTCCTCTTTCGGACCAGTCAGCTAGGAAGGGAGGGCAGGGGAGGGAGAAATGTTTATTTAAGGACAAAAGCGTTGTCTGAATTTTTCATGACATTAAATAAAAAGTAATATAATGTATGGACGGAAAACTTTTTATTGAGGTGTATTCTATAGGTATATAGATGTATATTGCACAAAATTTACAGGGAGAAAAATAAAGTCTCTTTTACAAGGTAAAAAACATAATAGTATTGGAAATAGTGACTGTGATTCCAAATTTCAGCAAAGGGTGAGACTGGAAGCAAAGCCCTCAAAGTCACAGAAAAGCCTGTCCTTTCTTCAGCAGTACCAGAAGCCCCAGGCCAGTGCAGAACTTGGAGACCAGGCTGGATTTTAGCTGTGGTAAGGTTATTGGGTCACCTGCAGCTAGGCACATGCTGGGAAGGATCCTGAGATCTGGGAAGGGGCTTCATCTGGGAAACCTCTGTTCAGACACCCCCAAACTGCAGCCAGCAACCGCACTGGGCAGTACTGGGGACACGTTTCAGGGCAGGGGGTGCGTGAGTTCGTTTTTCAAACAGTAGCCAGTCCTAGGAGGGAAGGAAGGAAGATACGTGCCCTGGATCCAAGGACTCGGATGCAAGGACTCCTCTCCGTCAGGATGCAGACGGTTCAAAGGTATCACTGGGTATCAAGCGTGCAAATCTCATCCTCGTTTCCCCCTTCTGCTTCCCCTGAAAAAAAACTCACCTGGATGCATGCTCCCCGTGCAAATCCAGAGCATTTCTGTCCCTGGCAGCAGCGGTTTAACTGTCCAGGAGCTGTGGAGCAGAGCAAAAAAATGAAAAGGGATCCTTGGACCAGCAGGGTCAGTAAATCCCAGGGTCTCGCCTCACCGGCTCCCCAGCTGCTACCGCTCTGCCTTTCCCAGGAGGCAGCACGCGTCCTCCTTCACAGTTCCCACCCGCAGAGTTTATATATTGCAGGACAAAACCTGGCTGCTACTGAGAGCCGGGAACAGCCAGAAACATGGCATGGCTCGTGGAGACATGGGGAAAGGTTATGATCCTGTTTGGAGAGGGAGGGAGAGGAGCTGGGGTGGCCGGGACTGCGGGGAACTGCGGTGTGCAGCGTGGGAGCACGCAGGGACCAGCCCGAGCTGCGGCAGCGACGCGGGTGTAGCAGCCCACGGCCCCGCCAAATTCCCACACGCTGGCACTTTTATTTGGTTTTCATTTTAAAAAAGATGTCTTTTTCCACAAAAAAAAAAAAAAAAATCATGTGTCTTCCTTTTTTTTTTTAAATAAATAAATGAAAGCATGGGAAATCTGTTACAAATTACCTTGCAAAGAGCTACACTTTAAACAAAACACGTTTATGAAAAACAGCTTTTCAGTTCCAGGGGCGATGCTGGGAATCGGTGAGAGGAGCCTTAACATCTGCGGTCGGTGGGAGCCAGCGGAGGACGGGTTCAAGGGGTCCCTGGAACCCCAAACACCTGCAGCGAGAGGTGGCAGGACGCATCTGTCCTACCTTCCCCAGTAAGTGCTCCCTCTCTCTTACTGGTGGCCCAATGTCTCCAGTA